GGGCGGCTGCGGGGAGAAGACACCCTCAGTGGGGGCCCTAGCGCACCTGCGGTGTGGGCCCAACCCCGAGTAGGGGCCGGGAGGAGAACCAAGACGGGGGTGGGGGGTGGGCATGGCCCCTTCTCAAGAGCTTACGCTGGAGCAGGGAAAGACAAGTGATTAACCATAAATCGGGCAGGCTGGTCCAGGGCCCACCCAACGGCGGCGGAGGACAGGGGTGCTCCAGAATAGAAGATGCATGGAGATGCAGGCAACGAAAATGCTCACTGAGGTGGGCCGCCAGGGGTAAGTCCACGTTTTCATTTTAAAAGGCTTAAACAATCCCACATCTTTAAAATAAAAACTTTATAAATGAATAAAGTCTTAATCCCAAAATGCCAACAGCGATCACGAACTATGGGCCACTGTTTTGTTTTTTTTCCTTTCTTATTTTTTGCACTTTTCTAAAGTGTGAAAAAAGTTCTAAAGTGCACGTTTTTCTTTTTCTTTAACCTAGACTATAAATTACTTTTCTACTCAGGAAAAAAAAAATGTTACTTTTTGAATGTTTTCCAAGGATTTAGAGCTTTCATGTGGGAAGACTGAAGAGGAATCGGTGGAAAAAACCAGTCAGAGGCACAGGAGGACAAATCCTGCATGACTCCACTTGGATGAGGTGCCGAGGGTAGTGGGATCCATAGAGACAGAAAGTGGAGTGGTGGTTGCCAGGGACTGGTGGGTGGGGGGCAATGGGGAGCTGTTGTGTCATGGGTACAGTTTCAGTTTTGCAAGATGTAGAAAGTTCTGGAGAAGGATGGTGGTGTTGACACAAGAATGCGAATGTGCTTAATGCCACTGAACCGTACACTGAAAGTGGTTGAAATGATACATTTTATGTTATGTATATTTTAGCACAATAACAAAGAAAGACAAATGGATTTTTTTTTTTTAATAATTGGAGGGAGGCCTCCAAGGAAGACACAGACCAGCTGATAGGAAGGAGGGTGCCAGGCTGAGGGACCAGGTAAGCAAGAGCCCAGGTGTTTGCTGGGCTGTTCATGAATGTTATGACAAGTACAGAGCTGGCTTCAGATCTGCCTGCTCACTCCATCCTTTCCCTTCCTGGTGAAGATTCTGGTCCTGGGATGCTCTCTGAAGTGCCCCCTGGACTTGATCAACAGTTGCCTGAAAGTACTACAGCAAGAGAAACCCTGACAAGTGAGGCTCAGAATGCTCAGGACTAGCATAGTTGTGATGAAAGGGAGCCCACTTCTTTTTCTCTCTTGTTTGGAAACAGGAGAGCTTCCAAAAAGGCCCTGCCTTTGGTCTCTGTTTCCACAGAAAGCAGCCCCAGGGACAGGAGCTGGGCTCCCTGGGAGGGCAGCCTGATTCTGAGAAAGCACCCAGTTGCTGATTCAGATGAACTGAATTGAGACACATTAACCAGTAAATCTCTTTGGGGCGCTGTGTAAACTTGACCTTGGACTGGTCCAATGCAAAGATATCAAGTATTGATAAAGCTCCTATTCTCTGGACACTATACTAATCACCAATGTCCCTCCCCCTACAGAGACTCCACACAGCCAGACAGAACACACCAGGCTTTTTGGCAAAGAAGTAGGACATTTTGGGGGTTGGACTTTTTAACAGACAATATATTGGTTGCAACCCTGTCCATCCTCCATAGATTCCTTATCACTGGATTTTCTTGCCATACGCAAAACCAGCCACTGTGTGACCTCATAGACCTTCTGGCTGGGGAGATGTTGGGACTCAAAATGTGGATAATAACCTCATCAGTAACTAGACAAATGTCTCATTATCCAGCTCTCAAAATACCTTGCCCTGCATCAATAACTGCTAATTTTGCAGGATGTGATGGGAACATTTGAAAGAAAATGCTGATCAGGCAAAGGTAGCAACAGTGAAACTTCTCAGGCCAAATTCCCAGCCTGGGGAGTTTTTAGGTTGGGAATCAGTTTTGTTTAGTTTTTTTAATTTTTAATTTTAAAGATGTGGGATATAAGGGAATCAGTTTTACCACTTGTGTTTCCTTCCACGAAAAGGATCAAAACTCTGGTTGTACAAAAGAGCTAAGCTCCATTACGGAACCACCTTGGAACCCAGAGGAATCAAAGAATGTGAAAGAGGGGGAAAGCCCACATCTCTGAGGGGGACACTGAGCTCCTGCATGTCTGCATTGGTGACCTATGACTGGGGTCCTCCTCTCCCTGCAGTGGGACATCCCCACCCAGCCCCATGGCAGCTATGTACCAGTCTGGGCCTGATGCTGACAGCGGTTCCCAATCCTTCCTGGAGGACAAATGCATCTGTACTGGTTGATGCCTTCTACACAGGTTCCGCCATTTTGACAAGGCTGGCTGGAGCATTCACTGATATCTGGGAAAATACACAATTTTCAGATACAAGTACGTGAGTTCTAGTTATAAAAAACAACAACAACAATGCAACAATCATGGGTTAACTTTCTTCACATTGTAAGCTGACTCCTACTTTCTGCCTCCCACAACTCCTACCCGTACTACCCTCTCCACTCGCAAAGGCTGCAAGGGGCTGATGGGGATGAGATGCATTCAGCAGGCCTGGTACCGGCACATACCTTGTCCACCTGGGACTCTGAGTGCTGGAGCTGGCTGACCACCCGGCCATGCTTCACCTAGAGGCATTATCTACTAATTTGTAAAGGTTCAGGGTAGACAGCTGTAGCCAGGCAGAGGCAGCTACCTGTGAGCATCTGCCTACATGGCCTTTGAGTCAAGTCCTCTGCCTGCCATCTCTGCCTCCACCAGCCAGCACCTGGGAGGAACACTTTTTAAACAGGAGTGAAATTCGGGGGAACCATTAAAGTATTAAAGGGGAAGGATGGCACGCTGAAAAGTCCAAAGGTGGGAAAAATGAATTCTTGAAATTCCCACCAAAACCTACGCTCAACCTGGTAGGAATTTCTTGTTTTGGGGGGGAGGACATTTCCTTAATATTGGTAAAGAAGGATATTCCTTGTTCATATACTCAGCGGTTCTGTGGAAAAGTTATACATAGACATAGGTTTTTGAGAAATCAGTAGATTTGCGTCTGAGTGGTAGGCTTAGAGGTGATTTTTCTTTGCTTGTTTATACTTTTTTGTATTTGTCCATTTTCCCACAACAATCATTTATACATGTTTTAATGAGAAAAAATTATTTTAAAAAATTTTTAGGCCATGTGTGCTTGTTATGAATTCCCTAAGCCCAGTTTTAGCACACAGGCACTAGTCATTTCCACCAGAGAGGTTTGTCAATTCAGAGACTTGACCACAGTATGCTGGGAAAGAAAAGTGAAATCAACTCCTTGTTGGCATAAGAGCACCCTTGTCTGCTGTGTCTACCAAAAAGAAGAAGCAAGTGTTTTGCTCCTAATGAGAACGACAGCCTTGTTTTGGGTGGACTGGAAGGGACTTTGGCTTTCCTTAAGCCTCCTCGTGACTGGGATGTTATGTAGACTGTTACATGGTTTCTATTCATCATGAAAGGACCAGACAGTCCAAATGCCGCTTATCCCTGGAGAGGGAGCCGTTTCTCTTTCTCGGTAACCTCAGCCTGGTTGTGCTCTCCCTCACACATTCTGTTTTCAGATGACTGGTTTCAAGGAATGTGTCTGAAACAACACTGCACACAAATGCCACGGAGCTTGGTATTCTCACTTCTACCCGTTGTCCAGCCCCATCATTGCTCACTGGCATAGTCTGAAGGTGGGCAGCGAGCCAAAAAATGTGAACATCAATGTCCTTCAGGTGGCCCCATGTCTCTCCTTTACTGGGTCTTCATCAGAGAGCACTGAGCCCAGTCTGCACCTGGACTGTGTGGGTAAGGATTGGGAGGTAGAGGGTCATCAGCTCGACAGAGAAAGGTCCAAGGTTCCCAGAACTGTGTGCTCTGTCTCCTCTCTGGATATGCCCAGAATATTCATTTCTAGACAGGATCTAGACTCTCCCTATTGCTAATCTTGATATGCAGTCAGAGGCATCCAATGACTTGAGGTCCAGCCTGGCGCCCCATCTGCATCCTGAGTGGAGTACAGTTGTCATCACATCCACATGTGTCCCAGGCTATGGCATTTTGTGAAATGCATGGCAGAGGCTGCAGAAGAGGCTGGCGAGCCAAAGCCTGCTCTGCTTTTATCTCCTAGTGAGCATTTACTATTTTTATGACATAACAGTAAGTGTTTTATATGCGTAATCTGACATTTTAAAAAATTTTCTGATTCTTTCCTGAGTTCTGTCATCTCATTTCAAATCTTCCATGTTTCCAGTCGCCTTACTTCTGAGGTTTTTCTTCATTTTTATTTACACTGTTCTTTCATAGTTTGTATCTTTAAAAAATTTCTTTCAGCTTGTTTTAAAATATTGGATTACAGTTTTCATCTGTTTCACGGGCATGTCTCTCTGGCATTTCTTCATTGTCTGCAGAGACTTTATTGTCTTTTTTCTTGTAATAGTTTGTATGAGATTATACAAGAGTCCTTTTCTATCACTCATAATTAAGCAAACTAAGTGTTCCTGTATACTTTGCTGACTTTGTGACCCTGAAGTTCCCACTTCTGTTGTTTTCTCAATGCGATCCAACACCGGGCCTGATACTTTCTCAGCTCTGCCCCTTTCACACTTCTACCTTTCATTTGCATCCATTTTCCTTGTTGGGCTCACTTTGGATTCTCCTTTTATTAGAGTTTTTTCACTACTATAACTTTGACCTGGAACGTATTGAAGATTCCTATGGGCCAGACTGCTTCAGCAACCAAAACTTCCTGTTGAAAATTGATGGACCCCACACTTTGACCCAGAAAGGCTGGCACTGAGACAGATCCTAGTCAAAAGACTGGATTTTTTTTCTTTTTTTTTAAGAAAAGGAAAAAATCCTTAAGGCCTCCAGACAAAAAGACCAAGATACTCATGATGGAAACAACAGCATCAGTATAAAATAGAAGATGTAAAGTAACATATTTAAGATACTCAACAAAAGGAAAACATGAGATAGGTATTTTCTATCCAATCAAAACATTTTTGGAGGGCAAGGCAGGGGCATCACTTGAGGCCTGGAGTTCCAGACTACTCTGGGCAACATAGTGAGAACTCCATCTCTACAAAAAAATTAAAAAAAATAAAAACTAGCCAGGTATGGTGGTACACACCTGTAGTCCTGGCTATCCAGGAGGCTGTGGAGGGAGAATTGTTCCAGCCTGGGCAATAGAGCAAGATCATCTCTCTAAAAAATAAATAAATGGCTGAGTACAGTGGTTTATGCCTACAATCCCAGCACTGTGGGAGACTGAGGTAGGATTGTTTGAGCCTGGGAGTTTGAGACCAGCCTGAGCAACATAGTGAGAACTCGCTTCAAAGTAAAAAATAAGCCAGGTGTGGTGGCCCATGCCTATATCCCAGCTACTTGGGAGGCTAAGGTGGGAGGATCGTTTGAGCCCAGAAGGTCGAAGTGGTGGTGAGCTATGATCGTGTCGCTGCACTCCAGCCTGGGTGAGAACCTGACTCAAATAATTTAGTAATTAATCAATTAATTAATTAAAGTGCGATAATGGGTGGAATTTTACCCTAGTTAGATATTTGTATTAAATAATTTGTTGTGTAGATAGTTACTGGGTTCTATGTACATACGGCCATTCTACTATTCTCTACTTTTGTGTGTTTGAAATTTTCCATAACGAAATGATCTTGGCATTATTTATGACTAGGGAAGCCTGGAAACAATAGAGGGATAGTTCAATAAAGCACAGAATAGCCCCTCATGAGAAAGTGCTTCACAATCATGAAGAGTTTTGTTTAGAAAGAAGAGGTCATGGAGAATTGCTCATGTTAGTATCTGTACACAGATGACATTGAATATGTAAAATTTGCGTATATGTGCTTAGATGAAGGACTGGGAGAAGATTCATAGTTTTTTTGTTTGGTTTGGTTTTTTTTTTTGCATTGGAGTCTCACTCTGTTCCCCAGACTGAAGTACAGTGGCACACACCCGGCCACTGCAGCCTTGCCCTGCTGGGCTCTGGTAATCCTTCCACCTCAGCCTTCCAAGTAGCGGGGACTACAGACGTGCACTACCAAGCTCGGCTAATTTTTGATTTACTGTAGAGATGAGGTCTCGCCAAGTTGCCCAGGTGGGTCTCGAACCTGCAGACTCAGGCAATCCACTCGCCTCAGCCTCCCAAAGTGCTGGGATT